TGTGTGTGTGTGTGTGTGTGTGTGTGTGTGTGTGTGTGTATGTGTGGTGAGTCTTTATGTGTGTAAATGCAGGCATGTGTGTGCTACAGTACATGTGTGGCGGTCAGATGACAACCTTGGATGTCAGTCCTTGCCATCTACTTTGAGTCAGAATCTCTCTTTTGTTATTTCCCTTGGTAGGCTAGCTGACCATGGGTTCCCAGGCATTTCCCTGTGTCTACCTCCCATCTCATTGTAGGAGGAGTAAGATTATAGTCACACACTTCTGTGCCCAGCTGTGTGGATTCTGGGGATTTGAACTCAGGTCCTCATGTTTGCATGGCAAGTGGCATATGAGACACTCCCTATCCCCTAGCTGTCTTGTTTTCTGAGTTTCTACCTGGTGGGAGGGCAGAAGGAGCTCTCTGGGTGGGGCTTCTTTTGTAAGGGGACTAATCCTATCCATGAATGACCTATTCACCTCCCCAGGCCCCTACTTTCCAACATCATTCACTTAAGGTTGTTGTAGATGGAGACATCTCTAATCTTAATTCCTTCTGATTCCATCCGTGGCAGTAATCTTGTTCCTACTCTCCTGAGGGAGAAATCACACTGGGGCACAGGCCCAGCAAGCAGGAAAAAAAATAAGTGTGTGTGTGTGTGTGCACACGTACATACTCTTCAGGGTGGAGGGCCGACCCAGCCAAGGAGCAATGGCAGCGGACTGCCTCCATCTTCAAGCCTTGGTCTACCTAACCCCCTGGGGTAGACGCCCTTTCCCAGAATAAGCAGGATTTTCTTGGAAGTCCTTTTTGCCCACAATTCAGTCTAATTAGATTGCAAGAATGTGTAAAAGTGTAACTACCCATACAGTTGCCAAGTTGACTAGGACAAAGGGCAGTGGAGCCTTATGGGCCCTGTTCTGTCTAAGAACAGCTTTGTTTTTCCCAGAGTCCTGCCTTTCCTCTCTTGTGGTTCAGCTTGGCCGTCTCACATCCCAGCTGCAAGCCCTCTTCCTTATCTTCCCCAGTGTTCCCACCCCCTAACATTTGTTTGAACTTTAACAAGGTTAGGTTTCAGTGTGTGTCGATACAGGAGCAGGGGGTATGGGGGTATAAGAGGTGTTGGGAATGGGGGCATGAACATTTGGTCTCTGTACTCTTTGCATTAGATATTCAGGTATCTCTTCCTGTCCCTTCTTTGAGCTCTTTCGGGTGCGTATCAAGAAGTGGAACTGCAGGGTTTCACCCAGTAGACCAGGCTGGCCTCAAACTCACAGAGATCTGCCTGTCTCTGCCTCCTGAGTGCTGAGATTAAACACGAGTATCATCATGCCTGGCCCTCATTTAGCAATTCTATCTTTAAGTTTCCAAGGAACCTCTGTACAGTATTCTACATATAGCAGCAGCACCCTGGCATCTTCCCACCAGCAGCACCCAGTCCCAGGATCTGAAGGGAGGTAGAGTGTCCTCTGCAGTGACTCTAATGCTGTCTCTTTTTCTTGGTCACAGGCCAGTCCATCGTGGGCTGCAAGGCCATCCTCATTGATGACCAGGTCTTCGTGGTGGTGGCCCAGCTCTTCGGTGGCTCTCACATTTACAAATACGATGAGAGCTGGACCAAGTTTGTCAAATTCCAGGACATAGAAGTCTCTCGGATTTCCAAGCCCAATGACATTGAGCTGTTTCAGATCGAAGACGAGATGTTCTTCATCATTGCTGACAGCTCCAAAGCTGGGCTGTCCACAGTTTATAAATGGAATAGCAAAGGATTCTACTCCTATCAATCTCTGCATGAGTGGTTCAGGGACACAGATGCGGAGTTTGTTGATATTGACGGGAAGTCACACCTCATCCTGTCTAGCCGCTCCCAGGTCCCCATCATCCTGCAGTGGAATAAAAGCTCGAAGAAATTTGTCCCCCATGGTGACATCCCCAACATGGAGGATGTGCTGGCTGTGAAGAGCTTCCGCGTGCAGAACAGCCTGTACCTTTCTCTCACCCGCTTCATCGGGGACTCTCGGGTCATGCGATGGAATAGTAAGCAGTTTGTGGAGGTCCAGGCACTTCCATCCCGGGGGGCCATGACCTTACAGCCCTTCTCCTTCAAAGATAATCACTACCTGGCTCTGGGGAGTGACTACACATTCTCACAGATTTACCAGTGGGATAAAGAGAAACAGCAGTTTAAAAAGTTTAAGGAAATCTATGTGCAGGCTCCGCGGTCATTCACAGCGGTATCCACCGACAGGAGAGATTTCTTTTTCGCATCCAGTTTCAAAGGGAAAACAAAGATTTTTGAACATATCATTGTTGATCTAAGTTTGTGAAGGTGTGATGGGGAAATTTCAAAGATGTGTAGTGTTAGTTCTCACAAGAGAGAGGACTGAGAACTGAAATTTTTTAAAAAGTCATCAAATAAGCCAGGCTTAGTGCTCCGAAATTAAAATTTATAGTGCACTGGGGAAATAGTTAGAAGTTTTCAAACTTTTAGGATTCACATTTTAACCAGGGATTACATTTTTTGGCTGACTGCATGACAGGTCCATGCCACCATTTAAAAAGACATCTTAAAGCCTGTAATTTCTGGAAAAGAGCACAGCACTTATTCTTACCATCTAGAAAGTAATGTGCTTTTACTTTCTTTTTAATGAGGAAGGAGAGAATGGAGCAAGATGAGCCAGCTCTTTTAATGAAATTAAAAGACAAAAACAAAAGGCCCCCACTTACCCCAGTAAACCTACGGACTTTTCTCACTCCATTTTAGTAATCTTTTTGGTAAGAACTGTTGAAGCCAAAGTGTGCTGAAAAGATTTTCTGATGATTTGTCTGAAAATCTTAAAACACTCAGCAATGCTATTTTGAGCCATCCTAGTTTCCTGAAAGTCATGTCCAGCTTTCCAGAATCTTCCTTCAAGCAGAACCTTGGCTCTCATATGGATGGGGCCCCTTCATGAGTGTGTTCACAGCTTAATGTTTGACATCGCTTCCTCTGCCATAGAGAAAGTATTCTGGTGAATATTAGAACACATGTCTAGGCCAGCATGGGCTGTAGACCTGGTAGCAAGATAAAGAAATTTCTTTCTATTCTTTGTTCAAAGGTGGCCCTCACAGTGGCTGGAGCAATCACAGTTGTTTGATGTGCTCTGTGGCTCACTTGCTTCTTCTAATCCATCCTTTGAGTTTGTGGGTAACCAGCAGATAGGTCAAAGGCTGAATAGTGCTTTCATCTGTCATTCAGAGGGATGGAACAGGTGTTTCCATCTGATGCGCATTGGGTAAGGTTTTTGAAATGAGATTTTATGGAGTCAGAGGGGATTTTACTCAGATCATGATATGCTTTGAAACCCAGAGGGGGTCCTTTGATTGATGCATGTCTTTGCCCTCTGGACAACTTAATATTTCAAGTAATTGAACAGTGGCAACCTGCCTACCTGCCCACCTGCCTACCTCCCTCCTAAAAGTCTTCTGCTGAGTTGCAGGTATTGCTGTGGCTGGCTCATGCAGCCCTCACTGAAGTTTCTGCATGGAAAAAAAATTCCAGCCTGGATGCTTGAGGCAGGGGAACACCTTCGCTCAGCACATTAGCAAAGGGAAATGTGGCCATGCATCAGTTGCGGGGCATCCAGCAAAGCATCAGGAGAGGCCAGCTGGAGCCAGATGAACTTAATCCCGTAGACCAGGTCTGTGCTCGGTTCCAGGTGGCCTGTTACAAAATGAACCTCCAGTGGGGGATAGTAGGGAACCTCTTGGGGTCTGGTTTTGTGGATGATTCCAGAGTGGATGTTCTACCTGGGTAATGGTTCTCGGGAAAATGTTAAGCGAATGTTTTAGGAGGAACTTTTGCAGAGTAACCCAGTATATTTCATCTAGCCACAAAGGTAGTGTGATCCCACTGTGGTGCGATGTTGACTTTTAATGGCCATTGTCACAATGTAAGTAGCTAGAGAGCATGTCAGAAATGTGGGTGCACGTGTGGTTTCCTGACTATAAGCAGCGGGGTCTGAGCAATACACCACACTGGAGAGGGTTGTGTTGACTCTGACTCATACTTGATAGTGTGTTTGTTGAAATTTTTATGCTAAATGCCAAGTAAACTGACAGAGGTCTGTGTTCATTCTTTAAGCACAAACCATTCTTTCTTTGCATTCTTTTGTCTTCTTATTTTATTTGACTTGATCACGAACGTCCAGTTCTCCACGCTGGAGGCTGGAAGTGGAATGTTTCTCTTGTTCTTTCCCTGGAGAACTGACGTACTATGCTCCCCAGGGCTTGGAACCCCTCAGACAGGCTGGGTGGAAGGTCGTCACTCAGAAAACACCCAAGAGGACATGGGGACAGTCCCTGTACTTATGATGGGTGGGAATAATGCTCCTTGAAGAGCTTGGAGCGAGCCACCAGGGGCACCCCCTGTGCTGCCTCTACAGAGCCATGCACCTGTCTGCTTGCACTTTCTCACAGGGGGAAGCCAGGGACTATCCACCTGTGGTCTCCAGGCTAATGGTCATTGCTTAGTGTTTGGAAAACCAGGGCACACAGGGTTTGGACTTCAGATGAGGGCTTTCTTGTGCCCAAATGGAGCATTCAGGAAGCAAAATAGACCTCAAACAGGTAGCAGGGATGGGGTCTGAGAGGACTGGCAATCCACTTCACTGCAATCAAGTTTCCTTTTCTCTGTCTTGTAAAACAAGTTTATACAGGACTAGAGTCTGCAGTCTGCTGAGTGCTGTGCTATGGGAGGAGATATTTGTTCTGGCCAACTTGCCGAAGGAGCCTAGATGTTCTTGGCACAAGGTGGCGGAGCTTTGCTTCATTAATCTTACTGCTCTCTCCCAAGAATCCCTGAAGTTTTAAGCAATTTCTGCAAAAAGCTTTCTTCCAGTAATGATGTAAAACAACAGCAAAACCACCCACACGACCATGACAAAAGCCCAAAGCAAAGCAAGGCATAGGACCGTCTGCTGAGGAAGGCTGCCTCTTTCCCTCCCTCCCTTCCTTCCTTCTTTCCTTCCCATCACCCATCCATGGTCAGCTGCTCAGCTTGTCCTTTGTCATCTCTCTGACTGCTTTGCAGGCTGATCCATCCACACAGCCCTGTGGCTTTAAGGCCACTGCCTTAAAGCAAGGGTTAGTCCTCAGTCTCTGTAGGGTCAGGAGCAGGTCTCTATAAAGACTGAAAATAAGCCTCAGCGGGGGACGAGCCCTGTGTTCCTGGGCTGTGAATTAGATCTCCTTGCATCTCATGGAAGCTTCGTCTCTTCCTCCTGTATGTTACTCTCATGTGTGGTATGTAATTCTTAGGTTTACTGAAAGGCAGGTGTTGTTCAGAGAGAAAGAGATAGACTCAAAATCGAAGTAGATAGCCTGCCTTGGATTATCCAGTTGTGAGAAGCAAAGCTAGAACTTTCCCTCAAATAGCAGACAGCAGGCCTTGCATTTTCTCCCCAACGTTCTGCTGTGCCCACCCGAAGACAGATGCACATTGTCATCCTGGCTGTGAATTTAGCTGCACTTGGGAATACAATAAAAGTGCAACAAAAATTCATGTCCAGGAGGAAAGTCATGCCTGGTAGACACCATTCAATCATCAGATCCACCAAACAATTAACAAACACCATAGAACTGCAGTGATGTGCCTGGCCTGCTCGAGAAAGTCTTCCAGAAATTTCGAAGAGCTTTCTGTTGTTCTAAAGAGAATTTCTTGCTGGCACGGCTGTTTTTCCTCCCACATAGCTGTGGGAGAGATACTGAGGTTGGACACATCTGGTTCTTGTCACAGTGTCCACCAGATAAACAAGATGAGTTCTCTGAGAGAGAAATTAAAAACCCAAGTATAGGAGCGATGATGAATTGCTCCAGGCCCTCTTCAGTCTTTAGGGAGCGCGATGAAAATGACAGTATTGCATTTGTGGAATGAGAGCTGGATATTTTTAGGAAAAAATCAGTATGGGATGCTAGAGGTTGGGCTGCCAGGAGTGCTCAGGATGGAAATTTCTCTGGTTGGGAGAGTTTCATGCAAGAGAGATGGTCTTCGGGAGGGGAGCCCATTTGCATGCCGCCTCAAGGAAATCCCTATAGGCTTCCTGATTCTTCCGCAGAGGAATCACTTCCTGGTGGGAAGACTTGGAAGAAAGTTCTGTCATTCAGCAGCGCCAAAGGTTTTGTTCAACAGTGCGCCAGAGTGGAATCAGCAGCAGGTGCAGTGAGGAAGGTGATTCAGATCTGGGGGACCCTGAGAAAATGGGGAGAAATGTAGGGCAGATGACTATGGAGCAAATGCTTTGTGGAAAGTAGAAATGAACTTGAAAGAGAATGGGGGGGGGGAAGTTACCACATTGTCTTCTGCCTCAGCCAGATGAGCAGAGGCAGAATGATCTGGTGGACCAACCATACACTAGTAATTGAACAGCATCTGTTGTGATACTGATTCAAATACAAATGATGCCATTGGGCCGCTGGGCTCTTAGCTGAGGCACTCTGCTCCTCATCTTGTCCCATCGCTTGTGCCAGAATCTACCTTTTTCTAGTAGGAAACTATGCATTCCCTATCCATCCCTTTGACTATCAAGAATGTATAAGAACTGTGATAACATAGGCCAATATGCCATTTGGTACTGTTTTTATGTATTTTAAATGCATAACCTAGGTAAAAATAAGAATAGTTTACATGTATATGAAAGTACATTTTGCAGTAGGCCAGCAACGATGGATGTGTTTTAAAGCTGTAGATATATTTGGATCTTTTTGGTAAATAGAATTAATACATGATATGCCTCTTAATTCGATATATTCTGTAAGCCTGTGAATAAAAAGCAGTTCATGACTAACACAGCTTTGATCTCTGGTATGCTTGAATGTGGATATGCCCACCTGAGCCACAGAGGGCACTGTGGTGAGCTAGGGGGTGTGGGGAAGGGCAGTGATATCTCTGTGGCTCCTTGTTTAAATGGAAGAGATGGATAACATGAGGGCCCTTTGTTTCTTCACTTGACAACTAACAATTCATGTAAAAGCCACTAAAATTTCACTGAAGAACTTTCCAGTACACTTCTACCTCATCTCTGGACTCAGAACCCTGATGGATGGACCAGGAGCTCTAGCAATCTCTGAGTATCTTGACTGATTCTGTATGGTAATAGGAGGGAAGATGTTGAGCTCTCATTGAACCTGAGGGGAGGACTCTGTAGGGTCAGGAGCCAGTCTCTGTAAAGACTGAAAAGAAGCCTTGGGGGGATGAGCCCTGTGTTTTTGAGCTGTGGATAAGTTCACCTTGGGACCTAACCCTGCACATAGTAGGTTTGAAGTACATGTTTGCCACATGTATCTTAACTTAAGACCCATTGGTTTAGTGAACAAAGGGAGGATCAGGACCCCAATTCATATAACTGTGGTGGTACCTATTGTGCACCACACACTCTGATGTGCTATGTGTTTATGGACCTACCACCTACTTAAGAAAGCCATAGTCACTCGAAGCTCTAGTTAACAGTGCATGGGGTAGTTACAACTCCACATCATAGAGTACTGTGTGACTAGTTGAGCAACAAACATAACTGTGATGGGTGACTAAACAGTTAATGACTGGTCAGGCATGACATGGTACTGGGGTTGTATTGCTATGTGATGGAGTATCACAAATATAGGGTTTGACACAGCACTTGAACATCAGCACCCCATTCCCAGTGGCAGGAGTCCAGGCATGGTGTAGCTGGCTTCTGTGCTCAAGGAATGGGTTTGGAATCCCCTGGAGGTTCTGCTTCTAGCTGGTTCACATCATCGGCAGAATGTGTTTCCTTGTGACTGGGATGGAGGTCCCCATCTCCTTGCTGGCTGTTGGTTGGGGGCCTATTTTAGCATCTAGGCCTACCCCAGGTCCTTGCTCTTCTCCATAGGTCCTTCAACCTCATAGCTGCTGCTGCTTCAGGGCAGCTGGAGCCCCAGGAGTGAATCACCTTGGTCTTTTTCTATTGCTTTGAAGCAGGTCATAGATCTGCTCTCACCCCTGAGGGGGTTCCGTGAGAGCATGAGTCATGGGGATTGATAGGTCACCCTAATATGTGTCCTGTCCAAATATTAACCCAGTAGATTGGCTGCCCAGCTGATCAGAAGAGGCCTCAACCATCCATCAATAGCCATCCACTCAGATCTGGCACAGTAGGAGCTGTGTAATCAGTTCCTAGGAGGAAAGTTTACCATGGGCCATAGGAGGCACCTTTTTAACGAGCAGACACGGGATGGGTCTGGGTCTTTCCATTCTTGTTTGACAGTAAATTATTTTATGTTTGTGACGTGCAGAAGCAGAAATTTCTAAGCCTGTAAGCCTGAAGCTCATTAAGGCAAAGACCAATCCTGATACCTCAGTGTGGTTGGTCTTGGATCTCAAGAGTTCATCGTGGTTGTGCGGCCCTGACCTAGGCAAGGACACTTCTATTCTCCATTTCTCAGAGTGCTAATTGAAGGCCTAACTATCTGAGAGGAATTGGAGCCACAAGCCATGTGTCACCTTCATTGATCACCTGTCCTTGCAATTGCCTTCTTACCTGCCTTCCAGACAGGACAACCCTTTACTAACCAGAGTCTAATTGGCACAAATGACTTTCCCCCCAACAAATTGGTAGCAGAGGTGATACTAAAGGCCAGGGACAAACTCTACCTTTTGGCCTCTGCTCCAGGCAGCCTCTCATTAAATGTGAATGGGTCCTGCCGGTAGCTAGGCAGCAAACTAAGGACTTGGCCAGAGAGACTGACACATAGAAAGGCTGCCCTAGCCAACAGCCCCAGCACCTGCTGCCACCTGCATGAGTTCTAAGAGCTCCAGCCCAGACCCCTAGGTGTCAGCTCCAAAAGATCCAAGGGAATAGACAGCTGATCCCCACCCCCTCAGGGCAGTGCAAGTTTAGCTCACTGTGCCAACACTCCCACCATCCCCATCTCCCAAGATAGTGGAGAGCTCACATCCCTGTCTCCAGTTCCAGGTTGGATGGCAGCCAGTCACTACTTTGTCTCCTGTTTGCTCAGAAGGGCATTGTAGCCAAAGTGCATGTGAAAGTGGGGAGTGTTTTTTAGGTAAAGTGGCACTCCCTGAGACCCCTGTCCTGGCCCAGGCTTCCATGTTTGTTTCT